ATATATAAGCTGTACTGCTACTTCCTTCGAATAGAACATTGCGTTAAAGATGTGAAAGAAACGCCGACACTCATACAATACCACACACAAACTGACAGGTGGTTGTGTACGAAAATAATGATGCGTGCGGAGGACGAGTGATTGCCCAGCAGCTCGCAGCCGGTATACAGATCCCTACCGCATTCCAGTTCCCCGTGGTAAGCTTCGATGATAGATTAGTCTCTATGATGACTATACCTATATGTGAAGGAAGACTATGTGTATAATTAAGACTTATGTGTTTGACTATAGAGTATGTGTAAACGTGAAGACTACAGGTTGACTTTGGGTTTTGTAGAGTGCGTAACCTCTTTTCGGTCTATCCCATGCTTTTCCTCTGTACTGACAGACCTCTTTCCGTTGCACCCAATTACATTCCTTTCCTTGTAGACTACTCAGTTCGAGAATGTTGTGACTGAGGTGGAGGTGGCGACTGACACGAGCACCGTCACTCAGACCGTTGTGAGCATTGATGAAACCGACGCTGCAGAACGCCCAGCGTTCGACATTGGAGCGTAGGCATCAATGAGAATAGTGACCGTAAGGGCGCACACGTTTATGCATTTGTTTGCGTATACGTTTTAATACTCCAGGTTGTCGTATGATAGTATGTAACGTAAATAACACATGTAAGTCTAAAACACTTGGTAAAGTGTACGATACCAATAGCTGAAGGGGGGTACTGAAAACTCAAGGGGTTACTGAAAACTCAAGACGGCAGACAATCACGTGGACCATTCACCGTAGGCATGCAGACAGTCAGACAATGCTTTCTGCGAAGTTTATCGGAATGCTACCTACCCTGGGGGAGTCATCGGACACTGTCAGTTGTGATGCGCCCACGTCCACGAGTCTTGTAGAACGATGTGACTTTGACAGTCGTGCGAGTGATTTCAAGCATGCGACTCAGTTTGACAAACGGACAGGCCAATCAGAAGGCAGCCCCCGTTGGATGTTGATGTAGATGACGATGAATTGTCCATAAATGCAGAAACCGGCACTTGTTGCGATTGATGTCAGGCATCTTTCCGTAGCCACCACATGCACAAGTCAGTCGCACATGATGCCAGTGGTGAACACTAACTGGGGAATACCACTACGCATTCTATTACGATAATACTACTCATACGGGTTGCGGAATCCGTAGTACAGCTCTAAAGCCTGGAGAATGCAAAATAATTCGTAATACCTAAAGCCTCGATAGTGCGAAATGTACAAAAGCATGTCTATACTAAAGCATCGCATCGAGTATACTAGAGCATCGATATTGCTAAATATACTAAAGCATTGATAGTGAAAAAATACTAAAGCATCGATAATCGAGGTAAACACTACTGATTCGAACTAGCATACTGCTGCTACGATTACGGCATGCGTAGTAGAATATTACGACGAATACTGAATGTGCAATATACTAGAGCATCGATTGTGCGAAATATACTAAAGAATCCATAATCGAGGTAAATACTACTAATTCGAACTAGCATACTGCTGCTACGAATACGGCATCTGTAATAGAATTCTACGACGAATACGGAATGCGCAATATACTAAAGCATCGATTGTGCGTAATATACTAAAGCATCGATAATGGCGATACATACTGCTACGAATAAGGAATACGTATTACGGAACTCGTAGGCATTGATAATGGAGATAAATACTGCCACGAATACGAGAATGTGCAATACACAAAATAGATTGGAGAATGAAAGTAAATGAGAGTAGATAGTATAGAAATAGTATAGAAATTAGATTGTGAGTAAATAGTAGTGATTCTTGGTGAATAGCAGACAAATAGAGATAGAAGTGGCATAGAGATTATTCTGATAGTAAAGTAGCACACTGGTAGTAAAGAGAATAGAGCTAGAAGTGGCATAGAGAATTATAGTAAATAACATAAGAGACAGAAGTGGGCAGACAGATATATATAAAAGTTTGTTCGCTATCTATGGCAATGGATGCGGCACGAGGCGGAGACTCAATCTATATTACTGGCATAGAGATTGATAGAAAGTAGCATATTGTTGGTGAATAGCATAGAGCTAGAAGTGGCTTAAAGAACTATCGTAAATAGCATAGAGATAGAAGTGGGCAGACAAATAGAGATAGAAGTGACATAGATATTGATAGTAAATGGTATAGAGATTGAAGTGGTATAGAGATTGATGATTTATAGTATAAAACTTAAAGATATAAGTGGGGCAGACAAACAAATAGAGATGGGAAACAGACAAAAGAGATAGAAGTGGCGTAGAGATTGATAGTTAACAGTATAGAGATAGAAGCGGCATAGAGATAAACTGTAGCACGGAGATAGAACTGGCATAGAGATTAAAAGTAAATAGTGATTAATAGTAAATAGTATAGTGATAAAAGTGGCGTAGAGATTGATATAGTATAGAGATATAAGTGACAGAGATTGGCAGTAAATGGCATGGAGATAGAAGTGGCATATAGATTTATGATTTATAGTAAATAGCATCGAGATAGAAGTGGGGTAGACAGACAAATAGAGATTGACAGAGATTATAGAGGTTAATAGTAAATAGCATAGAGATAGAAGCGGCATGAATATTTATAGTAGATAGCATAGATATTTATAGTAAAAAGCTTCCTACTTGGTAGAAAATAGCATATAGGATACAGATGGAAATAGCACTAGCATGAGCACAAAGATCAGATTGATAGTAGCATAGAGATACAATCAGAAGTAAAAACGCATAGGGATTGATAGTAAATAGCATAGGGATTGATAGTATACAACTAGCATGCGTATAAAATTTGAAACACGACGAACAAAAACATCTAGACTTTTCTCCGTACTTTATATTTTTCCAACTCTGTATTGAGTTCGAATTCGATCCTGTTCCTCCTTCACCCTGGCGACCTCTTTCTTCGTTGTCGAGCTGTGCGAGCTGATGCTTGATTTGAGCGATGACATTTGCTGGAGATGACAAAATAAACAGTGTGATAGTCAAGTCTTTATAATCTCTATGTTAACAATACACCAGCTTGCAGAGGAGGGCCTTGCCTATCAGCAATTAATGTTTCGCCTAGGAATCGATAAATTCACACCCGGTGGGATAACAATTCACCCAAAAATCGTCCCCTGACAGACCAGAAAATGACCCATACCAAACAACCGATAATAAATAGAACCAACACTAAACAACCAATACCAAACAAACAAGAAAGCAGAAGAACCAATACCAAACAACCAATACCAAATAAAACAAATACCAAAAAAAGATACCAAATAAAACCAATACTTAATAACCAATATCGAGAAACTAATATGTAATAATCAATATTTAATAACCAAAACGAAATAACAAATATTTAATAACCAATACGTAATAACCAATATTTATTAACCAATACCAAATAAACCCAATACCAAATTACCAATACCAAATAACTAATACCAAATAAAACCAATACTAAATAACCAATACCAATTAAAACTAATACCAAAATATCCAATTGAATATGAACAAGTTGGCAAACAGCCTATTTACAACTTGCTCACCAAAACGATGCCTGTGTCACATCCAGTGGTTACTATACTATATAACTTGCCATGACAGGCTTCCCCATCCACAAAATGCAGCTTGAATAACAGCAATATAAATTGCAGTTGACTATACCTGCCGTCTAGTGATGTAAAGCGTTCGTCACAACCAGCAATCAACCTAACTGAATACTTATCATGTCATCAACACACTCAGTTCTGCGCCAGAAGCGCAAAATTGAGACATATTACTCCCAACCAAATTAATAAATAACTTTGGACGTGTAACTGTTTGCATATCAGGCAGTTGGCAGTTGTATATCCAGACAGCACTATTTTGGAATGTCTATCTGCAGACGATAGCGAAGGCAGAATCTCACATACCTTTTCTATAGCTCTGACTTTCACCGAGTGCTGCTCCTTTAAGTCCTGTTCTGTTGATTCCACTATGTCCATGAGTTCGTCCATCTTCTGTTGTAAGCTTTGAATGTACGTGTCTTGTTTCTGATGACAGACATGCGATAAAAAAAAGGAACAGGTACATAAAAAACATGAATTTTAAATTTATGTTTATCGTAGCGATACTAGCTAGACGAATGGGGGGTACGGGAAGTAGAAAGGGCAAAATACCAGCACAGAAACAGCCATGCGATATAAAAAAAGTGGAAAGGGTCCATGAAAAACAGAATTTCTAAATTTTTGTGTTTATTTTAGCAAAACCAGTAACAGGAATGAAAGGTATAGGAAGTAGGGAGGGCAAAATACCAGCACAAGAAAAACCAAACTAAAAAAACCCCCCCCCCTGAAATAGCTATTTAGCTACCTCCAATATTTGGACCAATGGACCCTAAACCAAGAGAGGATAGACGCAGAAAGGACCGATCGGAAGCAACTTACATCAAGTAATAGTACTGCCAGCCACAGATGTGTGTCTGTGGCAGTGCTGAGATGATCTTCTAAGGTCTCAAGCACTAAGGCCGCGTCGCACCCTAGACGTTTATACGGGCACGATATGGGTTTCCTCGGACAGACTGTGGTCATATGCTTCTTCATCTCCTGTAGGTTGTGTGTGCATGTATACGTATACTCCGTTTAATTCGTTGTGTGTATGCATATGTTCTTAATAATAGGATGACCTTACATGTACACATGCACACGTGGGATATACCCACATATACACAGAATATCATATTCAACGTTTGATGGGAAGTATATCATAGACGATGATTGCAAAGAAAAAATGGTGCAGATTTGCAGAGAAATCGAATCATAACTATGTAAACCAGATAAATGCATGTGATCTACTCACAGCTTCGGGTGCAACTTTCGTATATGCCACAGTGTCTTCTAAATGTCTCCCGCAGACATGATTGATATTGCTTGGTGATGGTAGAATGTTGTGCACATCACATCAGTATTCATGATACGTTCCTACATATGAAATGCTTGGAGTAAGCAGCAATGCTACAGATGCCCACACCGATGATTTACTTGATCGCAATCCAAACATGTGCAAGATGTTGTAATCAACCTCTCAAAATTAAGCAAACTACTACAAACATGACCAAGGTCGATGTCCTCTGTGTGCCTCCCTTGGGGACGGCTGTCATTGCGCTAGCATCAGAACACACTCTGACACACTGCTACATAGAGACAAAATGTACACAGATTGAAAAGGCAGAGGCAACAAAACCTTAAGCCAGCCAACCATAATGAACACATAGGATAAACCCTAGACTAAACCCTAAACCATGCACATCATACCTGTCGTTGTAGTACCAGCCCACAGCCCTGTTCACAGCTAAGCCGTTTCCACGGGCAAACGCTGTCGTGGTCCGGATAATTCTTCACCGACACCATCACGCCACACTCCGGACTCTCACAGGAGAACGGCCTAAACGAGCACTCACTGATGTGCTTATCCATGTCATCAGAGTCATCCCATTCCACCTGCTTGTGCGAGCAAGATAACAAAGTAAGTACGGCATGTGATAAGTATAAGTAATGAAGTATACATAACGAGTCGTGAACATGCATCACAGGTAATTGTTAAAAGCAACGAGTCCTATAATGTGCCTGCCTGTATCATTGAATCCGTTTAATTCAACCGGTACTTTGTTTGAGATCACGGATTAAAAATAATATATGCAAGGCTGGGGACGAGTATGGACCACAGATATAAACTTAATTGGAAAAGGTGCATACAACTAGATGGTACCACCTCACAGATTCTAGAAATACAAAAATAGTAGCACGTTTTATAACAAATCCAAATGCTCTCAGATAGCAAACCACCAGACACAAATATAAACCACCCAAATAGAGTATCAATCGTCGTATTGGACCGTGATTGAACCACAATTTATCGAGATGAGACGGAGCGTTTGTTTACAAGGACAATACAGACGAATGTCTAGAGCCGAAAATATGCGTGCGAATCTCGCTGATGTGGCGAAGCCCAGACGGAAAATTGCAACCTTCGGGCATGCATGTATATACATACTAGCACATGTTGCTCAGCAATATCTCAAGCACTACAAAACGAAATAACTATTGATAGTAAACAAAGATAGTGCAGCACAACTTCTGACAGTAAGGTTCCTACCCTGCAATGCTCGAGGTAACTTCCGCAGATATCTAACAATTGAATCGCCAGGGCATTGCTGGCGTGTTAGGTATTAAGCAATATCGTCAGAGGTGCATATGATGAAAAAGGGGGTAACCAGGCTCAATCAGAGGTGCATGTGACGAAAAAAGGGCAAACCCGGCTCAATTAGAGGAATAAGTGTTGAAAAAAGGGGTAACCAGGATCAATCAGAGGGATATGTGATAAAAAAGGGGTAGCCAGGCATAAGTAGAAGTGTATGTGGTGAAAAAAAGAGGGTAGCCCGACTCAATCAGATGTGCATGCGATGAAGAAGAGGATAACCAGGCTCAAGCTTTGCTAAGCGCTCGTTATAAATAGAATTGATTAGATTTTTCGTCCGTGGACTTTGAATTTGAACAAAAAGAATCAATCGCATGCGGCCAATAGCTACACTGAAGCGCAGACAGTTTGATGCAACCCACAGCAGTACAACGCCACCTTGATCCAAAAAAGAACCTAGATCCAGTGAATTGCTAACGTATTTTTACCTTGCCTCTTCGCTGTATACACTATTGTGGTCTGTATGTGGTAGTCGGTCAATTTTTGCCTGATATGCGGCGATCTCACTTTCATTGGAATCTTTGGACTTCATGGCTGAGAACATGCGGCTCAGCGTCCCTTTCTTCTCAGACACCCTAGTAGTTAAGATAGGGGGTTTAAAATACATCAAATTCTGGAATAGGTAAAACTCAAAGAATCCAAGGTTTAAACTATATGTTATAAACATGGTACAATACAATAGAGACTTTGAAAGAATAGATCGGTTAAGCATGGTACCATACAATAGGGACCCTATAAAAATATACCGGATCCGATCAGCAAAATAAAAAAGGTTCTGGTCAGAAGTTAAAAGTCGACGAAGGCCACACAGAACTAGCATGGCGAACAAAATGGCGACTCTGAGACAAGATGAATAGCGATCGATTTAGACTCACCACAGTTCTAACGATCGCTTTATAACCACAACGCCCCGTTTGTCTCGGTCAGGTTTGGCCACTTCTGCCGTTTTCATCAACATTGTTTCCATTTCCTTCCATGTTTTCTAGAAACACGAAATGAACGATAAATAAATAAAAGGATCCTGCAGGTGAACCATAAGTATATCCATCGACAAGACTCTCCAAGGTTAGTAAATATATTAAATTTAAGCAATGATCAGTAAACGCACACCTCATGCAATGATGAGGCCCAGGTAACATATCATACAAAAACATACACATTAATCGTTGCTAATTACACAGCTCTGCTTTGAACAATACATGACTATAGTGATGAGCTTGTAGTTCACTCAAGTCTTGAACCTAAGCTCGCATCAGTAGCATAGAAAATAAAAAGTAAAGTTATCCCTAGCGCTCACATAAATAAGCCGCAAAATTGGAATGATGTGCGTAAAACAAGTACAAACGTAAATGAATGCCAAAAGCGTGTCCGCCAATGGTTCACAATGATATTCGAAATGTGCGAAGAAATCGCAACCTGCATTCGATAAAGAATAAACAATATATAAGAATACGCCAAAATGCTTTACCTCCAACGTTTCTGGCTGGGGTCTATTCTTTGGCTCTTTGAATGTCAACATGACCTGAGCGTACGATCTTCGTATATACTCCGCGAGCTAATTGATGGGATAAGATAAAATTGATTTGTAGATATTAGATTCGAGAATACGGTGAAACATGTGAATGTTTATTCTTCTATAACTAATCTCGAATGAAAAGATCTCGCTGTGTATACATTTACATGTGTTTTACATTTGGATCCAAATAACAGATTGGAAAAGACATCTTTATGTGCACATTAGTTTACATATATATATATATATATTTATACAGAACAAACACACAGAGACACACAGAGAAATACGACACAAAGACACACAAGGAAACACACACACACACACACACACACACACACACACAC